ACCTGGCCTAACAATGTATTTAATCTTTGTTCCATGGTAGAATTTAACTTTAAATAAGCAAGCAAAGAGGATTGGCTATTATAACAAATAATACCACAGCTTAGTACCTTAGCAAACACTAGCTTACAGCAAGTCGGGTAACTGCTAATATGTACTCTGTAGGTGGATTTACCATGAGTGCCTGGTTTATAATTGGGCACCTTCTTCTGAGGAGCAAACCATGTGGGATGCAGTTGGGTACACAGACATGATCAGTTCCTGCTGAAACGTTGTGGTCAGGGTGGGTGTGCACTGAACAAAGATCTGCTCTGGGCCCTGGGGAGTCCCTGGGGAGTCCCTGGGGAGTCCCTGGGGAGTCCCTGGGGAGTCCCTGGGGAGTCCCTGGGGAGTCCCTGGGGAGTCCCTGAGGCTTCTCCACATGTTCAGAGCCCCCAGGTGCCCAGTTAATAGTGTTAAACCAGAGCATGTCTGCCACATCCAGTGCATGGCTGGAGTCAGTGGTGTCAGGAGCAGCAAAGACAGAGGTGTGCAGGTAGGAATGGCAAGCAGAAGGCAGGCAGGAATTGTAGTGGGGATGACTGGGAGAGAGGGGCAATGGACAGGAAGGAGGGAGGGTAGTGGAGAACCTTGTTCCCGGCACTTGACAACCTCTGCTGCTGCTCCTTACAGTTGTTTTAGCTTGTTTCTGTGATGATACTCTTGAATTCACATCTTTCTTTGATGTGCAGCTTCACAAAGTAACAGGATTGTAATTTACCTTCAGTACTCTCGTACTCCTTAGTAATGTTTCATGTACTATGGGTGCTCAATGCCTCTAAAGAACTAAGGACCATATCACCCTTGCAAATTTAGAGTCAAGACTATTTCCCACATTTTTTGAAACACCTAGTTCTGCACAAACTAGGTCATTATTTGACATGTGAAAATCATTTAAATAATTGCTGTGGTAGAGTCAAATACAAAACTATGTGAAATTATTTTTGCATCATATTGACTGGATTTGGTAAATATCTGTACCATTCCTCCCTCTGAAGTAAAACTGATGCCGTGTGTGTTTCCTTCTCTATTAGCAAAGTTAATTACATGCCACAGTAAACTGATTTCCCAGAATTTTAAATTAATTATTTCTCTAATGAAGGCAATGAGATTCCATATTACATACAGAGAAAGAGATGAAATAATAAAAGAAAAACAAAGGAAGAAAAAAACAAGCAGAAAACCACCTGCTTTGGCAGACAACTTGTGTAAACATTAGGATTGCTTTCTGGGCTTGTGATGATTGATTACATATTTTAAATTTGTGATAAATTTTTACAGAAGTACTTTGTGTACTGGCACATATATGAAGATGCAAGTTTCAGGCTTTCTAATACAGTTTTATTTGTATAGTTCTGGTGACTAGGCTTGATCCTAAAGCACCTCATGTACATCCACTTCCCCCATGATTTGCCTCTGCACGTATTAAAATTATCAGCTGCAGAATTCAGCTAACTTTGCATATGTGAAAAACTAGTCCATTTAACAGATTTTAAAGCATTCTTCATTATGTTCAAAGTACCATTAAACTCCTGTTTTCCTTGCAGAAAGCTTTGCACAAAAAAAAAAAAAAAAAAGCCGTGTCACTTTCCTATAACTTTATTTGTGCATTTATGTGTCTAGCTCAGAAAGAATGCTCTTATCTTTGTTGCTACTTTTACATTGCCCTGTAATGGTAAATAGAATTTCTGTAGTTCAGTCTTCGAAGGAGATGATAAGAAAAAACTGGGAACAGTTTCCTTTTTGGCCTGTTGTACCAACTTCCCTGAGAGAATACTGCAATTTCTCTTGCTTTCAGACAGGATCTTTAGTCTGGGGTGTGTTTGTTCATCCAGCGTGGTTTTTCAGCATCTGGATCTTGTGCAGCCTCCCTTGGAAAGTTTTCCAGAACTGTATAGGAAAGACATGACTGAACTAAAAAAACTATTATAAAATACCAGGTATAAACATAAATGCAATGTTAAATAGTAGAGGTTTTTTTTGGTTTTTGGTTTTTTTTTGTTTTTTTTTTTTTTCCCCAGAGCTCTTGCAACACATTATTAGGGATAATAAGTTCTATAAGCTACAGGCTGACTTCATCATGCCGCATAACAGCTGATAATGTGATATGGAATGTCACTGCATGACTGATAACAGTTACAGCATCCCATTGTGAGATGCTCCACCCAGAGGGAGAAGCCAAGCATTCCTTACTGGATAGAATTTGGGTTTTTGGGACACCAAACTCAGGCTTTTCCACTGGGTTTCCAGGAGGACTGCAGCCATTCCAACCCTGACCAAAAAGGGTATCAGGTTATATTCTGACTCTGTCAGTGGTTTTTCTTTTGTATTATTGCAGGTATTTTGTTTCCTTTTCTCACTTTTCCTAATAAACTGTATTTTTGATTTGGAGTCTCTCATTGGTTTTGTTTTCAAACCAGAACAAGACAGTAGTCAATTCTAACCACCACTGCCTGCTTTCTGTCAACTGCCAAGACTTTCAGATGCCTACGTAATGCATGTATTGAAGGAAACCAGACACCCTCTAATTCATGACTGTAGCTCTGTTTTTTCACTGATTTAGACTGTAAATCTGATGGTGCTGAAATAAGAAGTTGCCTAGTTGTATGGTCCTCACCATTTCCATCTGAGTCTAATTCCTCACGCTATCATAGGTGCCATCCTAGCCTCATGTTTGTCATATGTTATTTTGTGTAATTTCCTTTTTAGTGGCAATTGAAATGATGCAGTTTTTCAAATCTTGATTCTCTTTAATTGAGAGCGTATTAATTTGTATAGCTGTACTGAAAAATAAGAAGTAACCGTATAAAAACGTTAATGATGTGAGAAATTTCTTGGTCTAGTTCTATGAGAAGTGTCTCTGCGTCACATAGAGTCAATGTCCAGTCTTTCAGACATTTTCTGTGGCCGTGTTTATTGTGAGTGATACTGTATACCATATTTAGGAAAAAATCCAAAAAGTTACTGAATTCTAGCAATTTCTTATATCAGTAATTTTTTTCTCTAGTAAATCAGTAATAACTCCACTTAAATTTTGCAAACTGATAAAGTGGAAGGATTATTTCTGTAGTGAATTCTCTGTTGCCAGACTAAAGGGTCAAACCAATGGTCTGATATGTGTGTTGTGGCAGTGACTGATGTTAGCTGTAAGGAATGTGATGCAGTGTAAATTATGGACAGCAATTCACAAGAGACTTTCCCACGTCACAGTTGACTTGCACTTTGAAGGAAGTTTGGTTTTGACTAATGAAACTGTGACTCTGGTGATAAATCTGAAGATAAATGCCTAATCCTGTTTTAAAATGCAGCTACTCAGTTCTTTACACGAGTTGGGAACTGAAAATTCCAGACTTTTGACATTTCATTTGGCAGAACAGACTATGCCTAATGCAAATGAACATCACATTAGCTGTCTGCTGAGGACTACAGGCTTGCCTAAGCTCACCACCTCATCTATGCCGTGTGCTGGAAGGACTGTCATTACCCCAGCAGAAAACAAGTTAACCTTACAGGATTTACACTAAATAGCATTTACGTAGTGTGGCTATCCATTAAGCTGTGCTACAATCAGCAGCGTGCAGGAGATCTTGAAAGGTCTGCCAAGAAAAACTCTCTGGCTGGGATTGAACTCCAGAAGCCTGAGGGCATGGAATGGTGTTGAGGGAAAATGCACTTGCAAACATTGGGTTGAAATAAAAATGTGGTGCTCTTTATCTGAAAATTGAGAATTTTATCCTATTATTTTGCATATACAAAATGTATATTTACCTAATCAGAATTTCAGAGAGAAAAGATAAGTGGCTAGTCCAGTGTCCTTCTCTATGGCTCCCTTTTCAAACAGGGAAAACAATGGCTAGGCTGGGTTTTTTGCAGGTACAACAGCAAAAGAATCCTTATTCCTTTTGGTTGCATAGTCATGTGTTATTAATGACAAGGCTGACAACTTCAGGAATCTGCTTTCCTGAAGCAGAAGAGTCTTGCAGAGAATGTATTTCCTTCAAGTGAACAGGCTGGGTTCATACATATCCTTGGGAAAGAGAGAGAAAATACTTGTCCTTATTTACTGAACATTTAAAAGCATCTTCTGATGCTTTTTGTTTTGGGCCACTCACTTAAAAAGCTTCTGCTGAACTCCTGTGCTCCATGAATGACATATACATTATACAGAGCCAGAAGTCCTTCCACCCAGGGTGCAGGCTACTAGCCTGATCCTGACTTCCAACACAAGTCTCCCAAATTGCTTTCCTGCTATGAGTTAGCTAGTCTTGTGCATTTTCCTTCTCTATTTCCAGGAAAAGACATGGAGGAAAAAAATCTGGAGTTACCTCCTTGTATAGTAGTAGGTAGTATAATTTCATAAGGTGCCTGCATGCAAGAATGTTTGGGTGTTTTCTAATTCGTCTGTTTATGCCCAATTAGCTTAATGTTGGCATCACAATGCCTAAAACTACAAAATAATTTTCAAATTGCACCTGGAAATCAGACAAACGAACAAAATTATTAAAAGACATTTGAATACCTTGAATTTTCCAGAAGGATATTATGGCATAATCTTAAATATTTTATAGTATGGAAATAATTTTGCTATTGACATTGAATTATTATAAGCTTGCATTCACATCAATGGAGCACATTTGGCCATAATGGTTTTTTTTTTCCTCAGGAAAAGCAAATCTGACCCAGCCCATATATATTACTTGCAAAATTTCTGTTCTTTCCTCTCTCACATGAAAAAATGCATTGGAGATTGCATCAGCTTTTTTTCTTGATCCCCACAGGCACAACAGCTAACAGATCTGGAGCAAAAACTATCTGTTGCAAAAGACAAATTGGAAAACGCAGCCCTTGACCAAGTAAGAAGTGTCATGTAATGTAAGCATGTTTACCTATATCGGCTGTGGGTGTTTTGGTGTAATTTGACAAAAACAAATGAAAGCCTGGAAGTTACTTAGATGGATACTAAGTTGCATATGAATTGTACCTGAGAGAGATGCTACTGAAATCAGTGGAACTAATTATGATACATGAAGTTAAGTACATCTGCAAAGTTATTTAAGAAGAGGATGGTCAAATTAGAAAAAAAAAAACAGCTCAAAAAATTTTGCACTGATTTTAGTAGATTTAGGTATTTATTGAACTACAGTTTGTGCTGACTGTAGGCTTAGTGTCAGTCATAAGTTTATTTACACTAGAGCAGTTTTCTATTTCCCACCATGAACCCTTAGAATGTTTACAAATTTTGAACTATCAGGCCCCAGATACCAAGAGTAGTGTGGCCAGTAGGACTAGGAAAGTGATTGTCCCCCTGTACTCAGAACTGGTAAGGCCACACCTCACATGTTGTTCCGTTTTGGGCCACTCACTTAAAAAATGGCATTTTAGTGCTGGAGTGAGTTCAGAGAAGGGCAATGACGCTGGTGAAGGTCTTCTGGGGGCATCTGGGGGAATTGGCCTTGTTTGGTCTGAAGAAGAGGAGGCTCACGCTCATTGTTCTCTTCAGCTGTCTAAAAGGAAACCATCATGAGGCAGGGGTTGGCTTTTTCTGCCTTGTCTCAAGTGGAAGGATGAGAGGAAATTACTTTAAGTTGTACCAGGGGAGATACAGATTAGACATCAGAAATTTTATTTTCACTGCAGAAGTGGTTAGGCATTGGAATAAGCTGCCAAGGGAGGTGGTGGAGGTACCACCTCTAGAAGTGTTGAAGAGGCATCTGGATGTGGCACTTGGGTTTAGGGGTGATTAAAATGGTGCTGTGTTGCCAGATGGTCTTAAAGGTCTCTTCCAGTCTTGATGATTCTGTGGATCTAGCCATGTGATAGGACTGAAATAGATCAGGGACATATGAAGAATGCATCACATGTGGGCAGCATTTTGGCCGGTAAGCAGCCTATTTTGATCACAATCACATCTAGGCAAGGTTATAGCGAACTTTGTCAAATTACGTCCCTGGTTCCAATAGTGTTTCCTTCACCTGTGCTTTCCTGGTGTTCATTTATAGATCTCCTATCAGCAAAGTCAATACTGAATTATGCTATTCACAGGATGGAAACAAATTTACTTGTTCTTCTTTTACCTTTGAAATGGCAAAATTGGAATGGCTGCTGCCAAGGAAGAATAAGCACTGGATAGCAGGATTAAGAGATGAGAAATTATCCAGAGAAATTTCTGGATGAGAGGAGAGTAATTTCAGATTGGTGCCATCTGCAGGAAGCACTAGGGTTATATCAGACTAGATTGACTGAGTCCATATCATCATGCAAAATTAGCCAGTCTGCTACCTCTGCCCATTTAACCATAACAAATGGTGATTTATGCTGTCTGTGCAGTCACTAACTTGAAAAGGTAGAATTCAAGAGATGTTACATTGAAAAGAAGTACTTTTTCCGATGGACATCAAAATTGCAACGACTAAGTCTCATAACTGGATCCAGGGATGGTGATATCTTTTTACTTTTATGGTTCCTCCCTCTTCCTTTTTCCCTTTTCTCCCCTTTTTTTCTCCCCTTTTTTTCTCCCCTTTTTTTCTCCCCTTTTTTTCTCCCCTTTTTTTCTCCCCTTTTTTTCTCCCCTTTTTTTTCTCCCCTTTTTTTTCTCCCCTTTTTTTCTCCCCTTTTTTTCTCCCCTTTTTTTTTCCCCTTTTTTTCTCCCCTTTTTTTCTCCCCTTTTTTTCTCCCCTTTTTTTCTCCCCTTTTTTTCTCCCCTTTTTTTCTCCCCTTTTTTTCTCCCCTTTTTTTCTCCCCTTTTTTTCTCCCCTTTTTTTCTCCCCTTTTTTTCTCCCCTTTTTTTCTCCCCTTTTTTTCTCCCCTTTTTTTCTCCCCTTTTTTTCTCCCCTTTTTTTCTCCCCTTTTTTTCTCCCCTTTTTTTCTCCCCTTTTTTTCTCCCCTTTTTTCTCCCCTTTTTTTCTCCCCTTTTTTTCTCCCCTTTTTTTCTCCCCTTTTTTTCTCCCCTTTTTTTCTCCCCTTTTTTTCTCCCCTTTTTTTCTCCCCTTTTTTTCTCCCCTTTTTTTCTCCCCTTTTTTTCTCCCCTTTTTTTCTCCCCTTTTTTTCTCCCCTTTTTTTCTCCCCTTTTTTTCTCCCCTTTTTTTCTCCCCTTTTTTTCTCCCCTTTTTTTTTTCCCTTTTTTTTTCCCTTTTTTTTTTCCTCTTTTTTTCTCCTCTTTTTTTTCCTCTTTTTTCTCCCCTTTTTTTCTCCCCTTTTTTTCTCCCCTTTTTTTCTCCCCTTTTTTTCTCCCCTTTTTTTCTCCCCTTTTTTTCTCCCCTTTTTTTCTCCCCTTTTTTTCCTCCCCTTTTTTTCCTCCCCTTTTTTTCCTCCCCTTTTTTTCCTCCCCTTTTTTTCCTCCCCTTTTTTTTCTCCCCTTTTTTTCTCCCCTTTTTTTCTCCCCTTTTTTTCTCCCCTTTTTTTCTCCCCTTTTTTTCTCCCCTTTTTTTTCTCCCCTTTTTTTCTCCCCTTTTTTTTCTCCCCTTTTTTTCCTCCCCTTTTTTTTCTCCCCTTTTTTTTCTCCCCTTTTTTTTCTCCCTTTTTTTTTTTTCCCTCTTTTTTTTTTTTCTTCTTTTTTTTTTCCCCCTTTTTTTTTTTCCTCCCCTTTTTTTTTTCTCCCCTTTTTTTTTTCCCCCCTTTTTTTTTCCCCCCTTTTTTTTTCCCCCCCTTTTTTTTTTCCCCCCCTTTTTTTTTCCCCCCCTCCTTTTCCCTTATTCTTTTTTTTGCCCTTTCCCTTCTTTTTCTCCCTTCCCTTCCCTGAACTTCTTCCTCATTTTCTTAAGTGTTTTTTTTATGCTTTTATATTGATTTGGTACCGTAGGTAATAACCAAAACAGTTACATATTTGCTTTCATCTGCAACCAAATTGCTCTACAATAAAACATTTACATATATATAAAACACAGGTAATTCTGTGGTTTTCACTCTTAATCTGCCCCAAGGGATCTATTAACAAGAACCTAAGTTAATGACTTACCTTAAAGGGCAGGTCATAACATGTTCCACCTCCCATATCTTTAATTTTCCCTATTGTGCTCTGCATTAATGGTCTTTCTATGGTTGTCTTTTGTCCTCCTGTCGAAATACACTTCTGCTAACTGGCTGTGTTTGTTTTTTTAAGAAATGCTCTTTTTTTTCCAGTTAAGAGATAAATTCCCTGTTTTCAGTTCAGGGGAAGTTTATCTGAGTTAAAACAAAATATTTGTAATTTTCTCAAAAATATTTGCTAAGAAAATAAACTAAAACATGCTGTATGGCATTGCTTAGGATTAATATGACTATGAAATATTTTTATTTTATATGCAATATTTCACATACATTATATGTAATGTGTAATGTTATATACACATTTTCCACCATATATACATATGTTTTCCACCAGCTTTTGCCATGGTATCCCTTGATTTATATACCTTTAAAAAAATCTTTGATGATTGAAATGTGAACGCATTCTGTATTTACAGGTGTCTTTTTAATAAAAAGAAGAAAACTAGAAATTAAATGTTTTTTTAATGTCTAATGCTGCTGACTCCCCCTGGAGTGAGTGTAAGATTTTACCTCAATGGCTAACATTTGATCCATGTCTTGCTTTGATGAAATAAAGATTTAAAATATGATTTCCTCACTGCTGTAGTTATCTCCTTGTTCTTGCTTTCTCAGCTTATTTCAATTACAGACTTCTGTTTCCATCAATATATCTGTCTATGTTTCTGGGAGTAAAGCACAAATGTTCTAACAAGAGTCGCAAGCACTTCACCACTTAGAAGTTTTATTTTGGCGTAATGGACAGTAGTGGGTCTGGACAAATATATTTTTAACTGTTAAAAAGACCTATGGTTTTTTTTACTATATAGTGCAAAAGTATAATATGCCCATGAGGGAAGCCATCTTAACTGGATTATAATCTATGTATAATGTAGAAAAATACCAATTATTTGGAATGTTATAGACAAAACTCCATGCAAAGTCTGTGTCTTGCAATACTTATGACTTCTCTGTAGATATTATACATAAAAGGCTGGACACTGTATGATATTTTGTAAATAGTATTTTTCTTTTCAGAAAAAATATATTTAAGTACTATTTGCAATAATCAATGTGGATAAAACTGCTTGAAGGGATGGGGAGAGAGTGCAGTGACTTCCTAGGCAGTTTGGTGTCTAATGTACTGTAACCTAATCACATAAAAATACTGCTTTAGACAGTCTTAATTCCTTCCATCAATAAGAAAAAGCAGCAGCTACTCATAGGTGTTTGGTTGAATACAGATGGAGAATGTAAGCCCTTGTGTTGATCACAGCACATCACAGAGAAGTGATGGTTTCTTATTTCCCCAGGAGTCCCAGCTGAAAGCTCTGAAGGAGACTGTGCAGCTTTGCCTGTGCTCCGTTCTGCGCAGTCAGCCTCCCGCAGCGAGTCTGATCTCCTCCAAACCAGCTGAGAAGCTGCCTTCCTCCAATGCAAAGGGCTCCCAAGCCCCATCCCAAGGCACAAGCACCGAGGTATGATTTCACTCTTGGGTGGGGTTTTTTAAACATCTTTGAAAGTGTGTCTTGTAAGAGCATCAAACTGAAACTAAGGAGGATTTCAAATTCGTTGGAAGATTATGACAAATTTTGAGGATAATTCTAAGACTGTTTCTGATGTCAATAAATAGTTTTTTTTTAATTTGGGAAGCAGCTACATTTTACTGAATAACAAAATTCTGTCACTTGGTAAATGGATTGATAGTGTCTGCAGGACAAATCTACAATGCAGATGGATTTGCATTTAAAATAAATGAGGGTGCTAATTCGTAGGATCATTTACCTGTCAGGCACTGAAAGTGAGTTTGTGGTAATACAGCACTAAACAGTTATATGGGGTTTGCATATCACGGTTTCTCTCAGTGGAAAAAAAAAATATATAAAAACCATAAAATCATCTGGGACACCCAAATCAAAATTGCCAAAATGGATCGATGAACTTGACAGTAGGGAATAGGGAATATTCCAGTTTTGCAAGATGCGAAGGACAGTTTCAGGGAAAACCTGAGGAAAAAAAAAAGATAAAAACTGGTTTGAGTCAGGAAATTCAAATATTGTAATCCAGTTAAGATTCATGTTGATTAACAACTGTCCTAGTAATTTTCATTTCCCGTGTTGCATTTTGCTCCTGAATTCAACTGGTTGAATAGATAGAACTAAAAGAAATCTATAATTTCAGTGAAAAGGAAGTTATACAGAGGAAGGACTGAAGGACACTTCAATGTCCTCTTTTCATTACAAAACTGAAATAAAAATAGGAATTGCTAACTCATAGCCAATCTGCAGTTTGTATATGGCAGTTGTTGGTATTTACTGTTAGTGCACAGGCTGAAGCCAAAAATTAGTAATCTTTCTATATGTAATTAAAATACAATTTCAGAAAGCGGGATGCAATTATTAAACTGAATATCACATCGCTACTCTTAAAATTATGATTGTCAGTTTATTAATAACTGTTTTGCAGGAAAGACCATGATTCCCAAAAATTGTTACCTCTGGGAAAAAAAAGCACTGTATTTATGTTTAGCAGCAGATGGGTATGATAGTGCTCATTTAGATTAAGCTCCCTGGATCCATGTTCTGCAGGATGGCAGACTTTCCTTTTGTAGGTTTGCAAGCTGAGCAGCTCTCTGGGATCTCAGGAGCATATTGTTCCTAGTTAATGTGGCTGTAGAATTGTTTAGCTTGCTCTTATTGTCCTTTTCTTCAGGTTGGAAGTGTTCATGCCTCTGTCATGAGAGGAGTACTGAAGGATAAGGGCCAGCTAGACAGCATGTCTCTGTTTAAGATTGGTCCAGGGTCAGAGCCTTTGGAGAATTGGGGTCTCCTTGATGTTACATAGGGACATGAGAATACAGATAGAGATTAGAATTAGGTTTTTGATATTTGACTGAAATACAGAGTACTCTTCCTTTTTTTTTTTTCAGTTATCTGAATACAGTCAAGGGAAATGGAAAAAAGTACCTGGTATCTCTTTTTCAGTCTGTAACACCCCTTCCCAGCACACACACACACACATACCACACAAACGATCCTTTTCCTTCAAGTTTTAGTGGCACAATCTTTATCTTCAGTTGATTAACTATTTGACATCGCTCCTCTTTGTTGCAGAGTGTAAGTAGCTGGAATGGCCCATTACCTCAGGGTTCAACTCTGAAATTAGCAATGTGCTAATGGGTTAAAGAGGAAACTGTTAATTGTTCATTGCTGCACATTTTGTGGTTGTTAACTGCAGATCTGTTTGCCTGTAAATTAAAATTACTCCATAGTCTCACTCCAAATATCCTTTTTTAATTAACTCTTTACCTCTCAGCTGTTTCAATAAAGTCTCCCGAAATCTATTACATATTATGTCTCAAAATACTGTGGATTACTGCTTGACGGTGGTAGAAAAGGTGTATGTATATACAAAATTCAAATTTCTTAAGAAATATTTTAAATAACATCACAATCCAGATTGTTAGGTATGGTGATTGGTCTCACATGGAGATGTGGATTAGCATTTACAGCATCCATCCAGTTTACCTAATTTTGCTTCAGTCTAAAGCCAGGACCCCAGACTAGAGCAGCCTCAAGCTTGCTGTGATGCTCAGCAGATTTCTGGACAAGCTTTTACTCTATCAGAAACAGAGAAGACCTCTTAATTACTTTTCAGATGTTACTATTTTAGACAGATCTTTTATCACCTACTCACGTCAAGAGATTTTTTAAAATATTTCTCTTTTTTTTTTTTGCCTGGTGACAGCAGAGATAATTGGTAAAATGTACACTATTTCTAATTTTAGTTGAAGTTGCATTTAGCAGAAAAGTAGTAATATATTTATCTTTTGACTTTCGTAGGTGATGTGTTTGTTCCATGTTCTGTTAAAAAAATATGTGCATGTGAGCAATGACAGTAAGGCAGAATTTATGTGTCTTTGTGTGTCTTTGTAGTTGCACATTAGTAACCCCATTCTCTTTAATATTAGCAATTTTTTCTATGGATGTTCTGTGTAAATGAACACAGAAAATGTGCAGAGGAGCTAATGGATCATTTAAAGTGGTTTCCAAAATAGAGTGTAATTTTGAAAGTACTCCCGAGGGAATTTTGCTACCCAAGGATATATTGAAGATTTATTTGAAAATTATTAATGCATGTATGCTTTATAAAATATGTATTATTAATCTTACATAGTTTGCCTTGATATGTGTATAGGCAGCCAAGTGGGAAACATTAGAGAAAGTTAAAATTCTTTTATGTTAAAACAGTTAAGATCCTTTTCTTTGATTTGACCAAAGATGTTGTTTGGAAAATATTCATAAAGAAAATATTCATGGGGCATTTTGGCCATTATTAGGAGTTTTCTAGTAACTTGATTAAACGTATTGCATTAAATCATAAGGCATAAGAATTGAGGAATGAACTAGTGATTAATTCCAAGCTGTTTAAGTTCAATTTAGCCCTGAGCAATTTAAAAAACTACTTACTACCTTACACCTGGAATCTCATCCAAAATGGTTAATCTCCCCCCTTTTCTACATTTATTATTTTATGCTAAAACAACAATAGATAAAATGCAAAATAAAAAATAGTAAATTAAACATCATTTAGTCTGAAGGACTGTGCTCTCATATGGAAAAGCAGACATTCATTTACCACAAAAAACTTCTAACATCAAGTATATTTTGGTTCAAATCCTTGAAAGTTATTTGGATGGTTCTCAGATTGAATGTTTGAAGCAGTGCAGTAATAGAATTAATTACTATTAAATATTTAATCATTGCATATTTCAAGGTAATTTATTAATTGTTTTTAAGTCCTTCTTTCTCGTATCTATTGAAAGACAATAGTCCGTGTCTCTGTTGGTGGAACTGTTGTCATGTTATTATATTGTTAGGTAATTTTTTATAAGTGCAACTGTTTAGAAGGGACTTAAAGAGGCAAGTAGAGGGTTTTTTTAAAAAAGTTTCCTCTTCGATTTCCATCAGTAAATTTTAAATCAGTAAAATTTCCATACTTCAATCAATAAAAATTTCCATACTTCAATCAATAAAAAAGCCCCCTTTAAAGCAGAATTGTGGAAGAAAAGTCAAAGCCTCAAAAGGACAAGCACTTCTCCAAGTGACCCCATTTATGGAATTCAGGTCATGATTCAGAAGGGTTCCAGCTTCACCAAGCTGGTCTTCCTAGGTTCTGTACCTCATCCAGGGTTGAGCATCTTTGACTTTGTCTTCCTGGCAATGCAGATGTTCATGTCTCTGTAACTTGAACAGCTGTTTCATTCATTTGGGAAGACTGTAACTGCCTATAAAGTGCTGGTGTGTATTATTACTGCTCTGAGTGTAAGTAATATTATACAGTGTTCACTGTCCCATGGTTAATTGCTTTTTCCTTTATGATAGCTGTAGAAAATGAAGAGTGTTGTTGAATGAAGGTGTTTATTTGGTGGTTTCAGTTTCTTAAGTATTATAACATCAAACTCCCACACACAACTGAAGATGCCAAGTGTCTTAATAGTTATAGAAAAGTAAATTCCTCTCCCTACAGTGAAGGTTGAAGGGTGCCTCTTTAAGACTTCAGAAGTGGTGGAAAAATTAGGCAGAAGGTGTAATTGTAAGTAATTGGAGATGATGGTTGTGTGCTAGATGAAGGGATGCAATGTCCATTAATTAGAAAATGGGGGGAATGAAGCATTCACTGCTCCCAGGTTTGGCTGGTGTCTGAGCAGTGCAGCTCTGGTAAGTGATTTTAATAGTTGGTTACAGAATCTGATCTTACTGGCTAAGGCAATACTATAGAAATTGAAAAATCTCACAAAATCTTGTCTTTTGTTTCGGGAGAGAGAAAAGAAGAGTTCTAGTATGTATTAATGGACTTCAATTTTTTTGAAGATTAAACAGTAGACAATTGGAAATTTTCCCATTTTCCAATTTCTTAGAAATAGGAAATGCTTTAAACACCTGAAAATGTGACACTTGGAATCAGTATTTTAATTCACCTAAAATCTCAAACTTCCCCTTATTCTGTAGAAACGAGTACAACACACTGAGAAATTGTGTATCATTTGCTAAGGTACAATCTTAAGCAAGAATCAAACTCTGAAATAAGAAGTATTGTACATACTATACTATACATAAGAAGTACTATACATAGGCATTTATTCTCCTCAGTCAGTAGGGCTTAAAGCTGTCTGGTTTTGCTGGCATCTCATGGGATTTCACTATGTCAGGTAGTCAAGAAATCAAGTGAACACAGGTTTTATAATTTATTGAACATACACTTCTTTTATTCAATGGGAAGAAATTTAGATTTGAAGAACTGTAATTTCTTTCAGTCCAAACAGATTGCTCACTCAATACAGGTATTAATTGGCATTTATTAAACAAAACAATTATTTATATTGATCTTTTAAATTTGTATATCTCCACATTACTTCCTCCCGTAGTCAGTTGCTCTATAAAACTAACAAATCCTCATCGGAGAGCTGTTAATCAGAGATTGAACTATCTGAACTATTTTATTTCAACCATGAACTGAACTGTTTTTCATGGTTCAAGTTAAATTGTAAATAGTGACCTGCTTAGTTTGGTTTGTCCTGTTCATAATTTCGGATCATCGTTTATATTACTTAGCAATTCAATGCAGTATAAGTTGCATGAGAAAGGTTTCAAAACTGGTGTCTGAAGTTTTGACTTCCCTTTACAGAAAAGTTATTCCTGTCACCACCCCCCTGAAGAGTTTCAATTTGTCTTGCAGACAATTTGATGCTTTCAGGATAGTTTCAGTGCATGTTCTCCTTTTTTTGTCCTTTTGAATCTTAAAAGTTTCAGGAAATACAGAAAATAATGCTTAAAACAAGCAGCAATTCAGTGGAAGGAAGTTCACTGCTTATAAAATGATATTTGATTGCCTTCCCCGTGCAGCAGCCTATTTTGTGCGTAAGGAGAGAAAGGCGTGAAAAGGAAAATGTTTTGCCAGCTTGCAGCTTGGGAGGTGCCAGCAGAGAGGCTGTGGATGGCTAAAGGAAGCTAAAGCAGTTCACAAACACGTCAACTCACAGCCTCAGTCTTTCCCAGAATCCACAAGAGTCACAGGAATATGTGTTCTGAAAATGCTTTTTTCCCCTCCTTCGGCATTTAGATAGAATATCTTGATAATGTATATGGAAGTAATCGTTTACAAGGGAGTGCTGTAACAAGAACTGTATCAAATTTGCTGAAAATGCAGTATATGAAGTAGTTAACAGTTTGCAGTGTATGACCTCTCGGTTTTTCATTGTTATCCTGAATTTCCACATGTGACTTACTTGATATTTTATCTCAATTATAGAAATGTTTTTAAATTAATATTTTATATTTTTATTTTTCAGGTCTGGCAAAATGTCTCAGCAGAGAAAGAGAATTTTCATGTGGCCTTGAAAAAGGAAGAAAATCAAAGCACCCAGGAGTGTGATTCTCAAGATGTAAGATTAACTCACCTGAAAAACAAGGCCTAATCTAAGCTGTATGAAAACATGAATGCTGTAGGCGACTGTCAATGAGACTTTTCCTGTTCAAGATGGTAGACATATTTTATAAGCCTGCTATGTTCTGTATTAAAGTGCTGAGGAGCAAATGCTCTTTGCTGTCAATCTGTGCATATATATTATCAAGGATTTTTTTTAAAAAACTGACTAATAGAACTGGTAAAGCTGTTGCAGGAAGAGCAGTGGTGGAAAGTGGTGTCATTTGATGTTTAACCATTTCAAAAATGCATTTGTTACTGGTTGAAGTGTTGCCTACATTATAGTGAGATGAAAAACCCTTGTTTACATATCATTATATTTATTACTGATTGATTTACTTCTAATAATTAGGCAGAGCCTTCACAGCTGCTTTGTTTAACAAAGCAAAGCCTTTGGGGAGATGTAAGACATGACAGCATAATAGATGAAATGATGGGATATTGTTCACTGCCAGCCTAGAAAAACTGTAAGCTGTGTTTTTCTTAGGACAGGTCTGACAGAAAGCTAAATCTGGTGCTTTTACTGAGACAATACACTCAGTAAAACAGCGTGGTATGAGCTCTTAACAGAAATCTCAAATACATGTATTGTGGCTGAAATGATAAAGATACAAATAGAACAGGGAAAAAAACAGAGAAAATGAGCGAGACAGATTTTGTTGTGAGAGTCTGCTCTGACTGTTGAGGATTTTCTGCTCAATTGTTCAAAAAGTATAGTGCTACTCTAATTTGCAGGTGAAATATATATATATCAAATATTCTATATATATTGAAAATATTGTTATATCTTGAGATAAAACAAAATCTGACAGAGGTAAATGAGTAGCTTGCTGTTAGTGATCATCACAGTGTGAAGAAAATTCTGGAAAAAAGATCTTAGATAACTCAGTATACAATAAATTTTTAAAAAATTATATAGCATCCATTTATTGCAAAAGTGTTACAAGTTTGTTGAGTTACAAGTTACCTCCCTTCTACCATATCCTCTACAGAACAAGGAGAAATTACAAAAATCCATAAGAGTGCATACTTTGCTGTTGCACATTTCTTAATACCTAAAGGTAAAGAAAACTTCAGTTGTTAGTAAAATTTGAAGAAGGGGAAGAAAAACTTGTAAAACTGTGAAGTTGGAGTGAACTCCATTTAGATTATGACCAGAGGTTAGTTATTGCTTGGAAAAGTTGTGTAAGGCTTGATGAAATGGTAGAATACTTTCAGCAGAGACTGAAACAATTTAGGCTAAATACTTTTATCAGAAATTGTAAACAGCTCTTTTATACTGAAGTGGATACATTAAAAGAGAAAGAAAAAGAAAATAACTGGTAGTGTATTTCAAAAGTCAAACCAGTATTTAATTTCTGCATCAAGTACTGCAATGAAAGACACCTGAAAGATTCACCTTTCCATAAAATCAAGGTTTTAGTTATTGAAATGGTGGTTTATTTATTTAGCTGGTTGTTTTTTGTCCTTCTAACAGCTCATATTTTTAACTGTTGAGTCCGTCAGCAGATGGACACACTGTCCATCTTAACATAGGCTAAAATGGCCATAAAAATAGTGCAGGTGATGACATTGGTCTAGCAACCTTTTCTTCTTCATCATCATCATCATCATCATCTCACATTAACATAGAGAGAAAGAAAGACACAAGGAAGAATTCAAATTATTAGCTTTGAGAACTGAAATAAAAATCTTCTTTCCACAATTAGCCTTCATATATTGGCATTAGAAATACCACTTTAAGTTCTGAAAGAACTGGAAGGAATTTATACCCAAAGGATCATAATTCTTCGGTAATTCAAAGCTGCCATTTGTACCTGTGAACACTATCACTTGGAGAAAATGCAACACTTAGGAAGAGTTTTAATTGTTTTTTTTTCATTATTTGACTGTGTGTAATTTTTTCTGAAGTTTTTACAGCTTCTTACATTCAAATGAAGGAAGATTAAGGTGGGATGGTTAAGGTTGTAATGCAGCATTTTAAAGAAAAATTAGTGAAGATGCACTAAAAACTGTGTTGCTTAGAAACCAAATATTTCAGTAATCCTTTCTCAGAACTTTACAAAGATCCTTTTATTGTGTCTCTGATAAATAAAATGTGATTTCTGTTTAGAAAGAATTAAGGTAGTGAAGACTAACTAGAGAAGAACATGCAATCTTATAGATACTGAGGGAAAAAATAAAGCAAAATGGTTAGCTGCTGGTTCCAACTGGTATTGTTAAGTCTGTATAGCTAGGCATCTCTACCTTCAATTTGTGATCTTTCTGCAATGTTGTATTTATGGGGTTTATGCTTGTTCAGAGTAATAAGTGTTGTTTACATTAGAACAAATACTGAAATACAAAAAATGAAAATTTATTGACAAATGGGATACAGAGTAGAAAATTTGGAAATGAGACACTGCTGATATTTACCTGTAATGAAATTTGGCATAGGACCAGTAATAGCCAGAAGTAGGTAGAATATCCTGTGATACAGGATCTGAAATTCATCAAATCCCCCCCCCAAAAAAAAATTACCTTCAGTATTGTTGTAGAAGTTTCCATTCTTTTGATTATTTGTACTTTATTGGAGGCATCTTGTCAGTACTACTTTTTCTTAGCCTTATCCAGAGATGCTTTCCTATGTCTGACTCCTGAAAGCCTCTGTGCAGAACCAGAGCTCTGAAGAGCTTTTTCCCCTGTATCCCTTCCTTTTTCTGTCTTCCCAAAAGCTTTTGGGATTTTGGCTTTTACACCATAATTTACTTAATTGCCTTTCATGTCAGATAATTCTTATGCATATAACATATCATTTTAAACCACCTACTTGGTATTGCTAAAACATCAATGAATTTATAAAATTATTCTTTGTTCTCTGTTGTCATATTAGATTTTTTTGCTTTGTCCTTATAGAATCTTCTCTGATAAATAGAAGTGGTAGTGCTTTTATTTACTGCCTTAATTTCCTGCAGTAAAAAACCACTATATGTTCATTAATCATTCAACAACAAAGGATATTCAGTATTGGAGCCAAAATTGTATACATTTCTAAGCAACTACAGCATTTTGCTTTATTTTCTTAAATCAGTTTCAGTTTCAGAGCTTTGATCAAATTGCACTCTCCAATTGTTTTCCAAAGGGCGTACGAAGAGAAAAAAAAAATTTATAACAAAATTTCAAACGTAATAAAATCCTTAAAGTAAATTTGCTTCTGTAAATGAAGACTAGGAAGAGGAAGGTCATAAGAAGTTTTTTATCTGAGTTTAACCATCCCCTTAGCACACTGATCTAAAACAGGAAAAGTGTCAGAAAAACTGCAGAGGTGTCTTCTGAGAAGGTATATGCACATTTCACATACTTCTTGTTCTGTATCTTTCTTCTAAACAGTGATTAAAGCTGCTCCCAGTACAGACCTGTAACAAATTCATGAGCAAATCTGATAAAACATGTCTTTGAGTAAACTGTGAACCTAACCTGACAACTAAGATTACTAGTTTGTCAGTTGACCTAACCACACCATTCTTTTCTCCTGTATCTGGTTTATTTTCTTCAGAATTAACTCAGTACTTTCTCCCCCATCGTGCTTTACAAACAATTTCCATATCTGCTTTTTGTGCTCTGTGAAGCCAAAAGGAGGAGTGATGGGCAGGAACACTGAAACTCCAATGTCTGGTCAACTAAATCTGTATGATGCTCTTTAGGAGCAGCAGAACTATTTTCAAACTGCAAAAACTGTTACAATACCACTTATTTGAACTTGATTTCCTGTTCACTTGTGAATTGATTATTTGACCTTAAATTGTTATGATTTTTTTGACCATAAAGCCAGTTCTGATTTGCTGAGTTGATGCAGTAGAAAATACTTATATTTACATTGTTCAGCTGTTCACAGATAAAGCTGCATGATTTAATAGCCAATGGACATGCTGAGTTCTGACTGGCTTGTTAACATTTTTTTAACAAAGATGCACCCTTAGTTTATCCACCTTTGTCATTTATACATCCAGCTGTGAAGCTCTCCAGCTTTGCAGTGTTATTTACTAGGACAATTGAATACCATAACTTCCCAAATTTTGTATACATGACCAATCAATATGCAGATTTTATAACCATAATTTCACACACAGATAATCTGTTAATTGGGCTGCATGCTAAGCTGAGGAAAGCAACACAGCAAATAGTTTTTGCTTTTTGATAGTTTCTGCCATGTCAAGCTCTCATGCTGTCCTTTTGTAATGAGTGTACCTCTCATGGGAGGGAATCTGACAGACAGAAAGAGTCACACAGACAAACATACAAAACAATCCACTGTTTAGCATAGAGGGAACTAACAACAGTAACAGAAGTTTAATATTTTGCTTTCTTTGTCTGTCACCTAAGGTTGTGAAAGGTATTCTAGTCCATTGAGTTTATATTCTGCCACTGATCTTTAGCTGAGGGACACAAAGATATATGTGTTATGTGTGTTTGCATATTTATGTGTTTATATATGCATCTAGATACAGACATATAAAAACACATCAATACACACGTGGGGGTGTATGTATGTGTATGTATTTATATAGATATGCCTGAGGTCATAGGTGTATGGGATTCAGTTTGTGTTCTGTTAAACCCAGTCCCCTGTGTGTGTTTGCACCTCGTCCACAGGAGCTGGTTACAGTCCTGGCTATTGAACTGTTGTTGTTCAAGCTGTAATTTAGTTGGTAATGATATACAATGTTTCACAGTGACAAGGAGTCAATAATGAATATGTTATGCTTTAACATCATAAAGACATCCTTAAGAAAAAGTCCCTATCTTTCTCCAACAGTGATCCATATGGTGTGCTACTAAAAGGAGAAGATCTCTGAGTGAACAAATGTGAAATAATACAGACATAAGTCGTTATTGCTCTTTTCCTATCAAGATAGCCTTTGTTATCTGGCCTATGAAAAGAGTATGCAAGACTACTCACTCATACAGCATTGTTTTATTGTTCACTTTTATTTTCTCTAAAGCAGACCTGTTTTTTTTTTTTTTCCTTTGCATGTCTTAAGAAGCTGACTTCTAGCTTTATTAATGCAATTAATAGTTTTTGCTTCCTATGTCCTATAAATTATGTTGGTGAAATAGGTCACCTGATTTCATGTTCTAGTAGGTACAGTTAGAGAAAATTCTGGATATGTAAATTATCATATTTAATTAGCATTATTTCTATCCTCTTCATTACACATTTTGCAATACTATTGATTGTTGGACCTATAGTATCTTTTGTCCTCAAGCCACACACCTAGAAGTCACCTAAATCTTCATTTTTTCTGAAGATAATTCAGCTTGAATTTTTTTTTTTCAAAATCTAGATTAAGAGTAAATAATTTAAATGGAAGTTTTGACAGGATCGCATGTATAAGGTTTTGAAGTATTACAAGACTACTAAAAATTTCTTCTCTGTCATCTGACTTTTTAGTCTTTATCTAGGACATAAACCACGTTTGTTTGATGTTTTGTTTGATTTTCTGTCATAAAAGGAGTAGGTGCTTTATCAACAGACTTTGTTTTAATCAATACTGTGTTGATTATTCTCTACATTAATCCAATTTTTGCTTCTACTGTCTAGAGTGGGAAAGTATGAAAAAGAGTTCCCCACATCAAATCCATCTGCATCATCTCAGAGGCTGCCTTCAGTAGCTTAAACATGACTAAACCCCTCCCACTGTTACCTTGGAAAGAGTCTTGATGACTTTAAACTTAAAAAAAACCTTGTCATTTTCCCTCCATTTAAATGTGTCACTTTTAATAGCAAAACAAGTAGAGAAATTCCAATGTGAACTCATTTTAGAGTAATGACCAAGTATTATGAATATTTGACTGTATTTATTCTTTCAACTCCTTTTCTTATGGCATCCTTAATCCTACTCCTGAAGGGACTTGGATTTAAGTACAGTAGAATTTTCAGTGTTGAGTAAATCTCTGGTTTCATATCTGAAGATCTCCTTAGTTCAAAAATCCACTTTGTAATTACTTTTATTTATGCTGTGCAACTCTGCTTTCCCAGCTATTAAAAAGCATATTGGCAAAGAATACAACATTATTTCTTGAATAAAATGACAGCAAGTAATGCAGCAAGATTTTCTGCCTTGAGAATCATCTGACTTCTCCATTCAGTGACTTTATATTCCTATTCAGGGATTATTATACCTAAGAGATCTAGTGTATAGCCAAGAGAATAGTAATAGAGAAGTTCTAACTGTAATGCTGATTTTCTACTGTTTGTTACTATTTCCTCACCCATAAAAGACACTTGTAATTAATTTTCTGTTCCCTAGGACCACTTGTAGAAGTAAACTTCACTATTGGTGATGAGATTTAAACATGAAGAAAAAAAGCTGGATAAGTATCAAGTTGTTAAACTTGCTGTCACAAGACTATATTGTTGAAGACTTTTACAGGGATGATGGGAGTCTGGGATAAGCTTAGATATGAAAACTTTGTTCCATTTCATCAAGTAGGCTTAAAAGACCCAAATTGTGTTTTTTAAGTATTTTGGTTTTTTTGGTTTTTTTTTTTTTTTTTTTGAAAACTGAATATTTTTGGAAAAAAATAGGAAGTAGTTATCTCTGACATTTCTCTTTTGGTGACGTGCCTATTTCTAAGTGGTATTTGTGTTTTGATGGTTTGAGGCATTATGGGTTATTGAGTTAGGAATAATTATTTTGTTGTTGTTAATATGAATTTTTTTTGGTAGTTTGATGTATTTGGTTGTTGTTTTTTATTAGTTTTACTTTTGGGAACGTGGGTATTTCTATGGTGGATCTTTTTAGGTAGTTATTTTATTTCGGTGGTGAATCTTTTCTTTCTTCGTGGTTCCGATTTTGTTATATCGGTAATTATTTGGTGGGTTTTTTTCGTTCATTTTATAGAGTATTGGGTTCTCTTTATGCGTTAGTGTAGTGGTAGAGTTTTGGGGTTTGATTTTTTATTTTTTTTCTAAGAAACGTTCGGGGTCTGTTGTATGGTTTGGAGTATAGTAAGTTAGTTGGCTATTTTTTTTTTTTTCTTAATGTTTTTTTGTGATTTGCTGTGTGGGTTTCGCTTGGCTGCGACACTTGGCTTGGGCTAAGTACTGACATTGAAATGTTAATTAGCTAATTGTTCCTGGGAATCACCTACCTCCCCCCACCCGCACTACCATTCTATAGGTCTTTTTAGAAATGTGTGTGTCATTTTTGTGATGTGATAAGAACCGCTAGTGAAAGAAGTGTAGTGCGGGTTTTCTTGCCGGTAGTTGGTTGGCTGTGGAACCTTTCTGAATATTTTGGACGGCGTTGTTGGGAATTTGATGCTGTTTTGGCATTTTAGTTTGAGGAACTGGATTAGAACTGCAAAGTTTTAACTCTAATGAAACAAAAGGAATGCATAAATATGAAAATAGGAATATAAAACTTCAATTTTAAATATGAACGGAAAACATATAAATAAAACATGTAACATGAATAATGTTATCCATTACTATTAGGTATTATATTGTTTGATATAGGGTATTTTATATGTTTATATACATATACATGTAGATTATAAATATAAATATGCCTTTAGAAACGTATAATTAATACATGTGGATATATAAATATGACAAAATAATAGGAATCAATACAGTACATAATGCATATTTTAGTGTATATGTCTTATTATGACACATTATATGTCATAGGAATTATAGCTCGAAATATAGTACCTCAAGATATTGTGATAGAATATATAAGTACTTGTGAAAATCGAAAATAGAAATAAAGAAATATCTAAATATAGTTTTAAGTAAAGGGGATTTTAATTGTCTATTTGGTAGTAGGTAGGGGTTTTATTATAAAAATGATAAATATAAATAAAATAAAATTAGAAAGTATAGAAATATATCCTAAAGACGTTAAGAGCTATATAAAATCTCAAAGGTAAGTAACTATAAGTATTAGTGGTATGTACGAAATATAATTGAAATGAAAATTTATCTATCTTGCTACCTTATTATCTATATAATATATATTTATAGATACATCAATATAAAGGAGAAATGCGCATGTGACTATAATGATGAAAAAATATATGAATATTCAAGTAGCGTTTAAAGAAAGGGATTTTTTTGCTTTTATTTGACTAGAGGCAGGGTTTTAATGGAAAAACGATGAATATACATTTTGTTTTGGTATCTATCTAAATATGGAAATAGATAATCAATGTATACAGATAAATATACAAATATAAAATGTAAATAAAAATAAGTATGAGGAAGAGATAGACTATAAATAACACCATACATCAATCTACAATAAAAATGTACATTTGAACATAAATGCGAAAAACAATGATAAATTTAGACGGAGTTTAAAGAAAGGGGTTTTTAAAAAAATTTTTACTTGCATAGAGGCAGGGGTTTATTTTAAGCCCTATAAACCTTTTAGAAATCTAAATCTAACTATAGAAATATACAAGCAATATATTAAGATATGTGTAAAAACATAAAATATAATGAAATATAATAGGAATAAATGTAAGAAATTATAAAAATACAATTATACATCAATATACTTTATAAATCCGAATGTGAATATAAATATGAAAAATATAAAAATAAAAGAGCTTGAAATGCAGTTTAAAAGAGAAGGTTTTTGCTTTTGGTTCCTGTTGGGTTAGAGGCAGGGGTTTTTTGCTGGCGTTCTTTTCCGCGCGGGATGTTTTGGGGCATTTGCTGCAGGGCAGGTTCCGGAGGGCATCGCGCCCGTTCTTTTCTGCCGCCGGCCCCGCCCGCGGCCCCGAGGCGAGCGGCGGCCCCCGGCGGTGGCGGGCGGCAGTGCTGCCGCCCTGTGGGCAGAGGGCGGTACTGCAGCCCGCCGCCCGCGGCCGCCATCTTGGGAGTGGCTTGTCGCGGACTCGCTTGACCTTCTCGAGATGGCGCGAAAAAGAGGACGTCGGCATTCGAGGACCCGTGTCTGTTTTTTCTACACTGCCTGAATTGTCCCCAACGCCGGCGCCCCCCGACGGGATTTTCCGCGGCGGTTCCGGTGCCGTGCACAGGGGCTGTGGGGTCAGCAGCACCGCGAGCGTGCGGGTTTTTGGCGGGGGCCGACGGGCATCGGCGTAATACGCCTCTCTCCGTCCAGGTCCCCACGGGCCGCCATCTTGCGAGTCCCTGGTGGCGGGCTCGCTTGAAAAGTGCTGCCCCCATTGTGGGCAGAGGGCGGTACTGCAGCCGCCGGTGCCGGGGCGGGAGCGCGCGGCGAGCGGCGCGCGGGGCGGTGTCTGTGAGCGCAGGGCGGGGGGCGGCGGCGGCTCGGGCGGCCCGAGCCTCAAAAACAAGCTCTGGTCAGGAAACAAGCTTGGTGCTTTGCGCGCAGAAGAGGAATTTCCAGTGCGCATGCGCCTAGCGGCCATGACACTGTACGGAAAATGGAACTGTGCTGTAGGAAGGCGGCCATGATGCTGTACGGAAATTCCAGTGCGCATGCGCTTAGCGGCCATGACACCGCGCGGGAAAATAAAACTACGCATGCGCAAGGCGGCCATGACAGTGTACGGAAAATGGAACTCTGCTGTAGGGAGGCGGCCATGATGCTGTACGGAAAACCCAGTGCGCATGCGCCTAGCGGCCATGACACCGCAACGGAAACTGGTACTGCGCATGCGCAAGGCGGCCATGACACTGTACGGAAAATGGAACTGTGCTATAGGAAGGCGGCCATGATGCTGTACGGAAATTCCAGTGCGCATGCGCAAAGCGGGCGTACTGCAAAGGGACCCGCGCATGCGCACTGCGTGGTGGGGAACCTTGCTCTCTGTTTTTTGGGGGTTTGGGATTTTTGGAAATTTGGTGGTTTGGGATTTTGGGAGTTTGGGGGGTTTTGGGGACTTGGGAATTTGGGGTTTGGGATTTTGGGGATTTGGGGTTCGGGTTCCCGGGATCCCGGCCCTGCTCAGCCTCTCCCGGATCCGCAGCAGCTCCGGAACCGCCTCGAAACGGAGCCGGGACCCGCCCGGGTGAGCCTGAAACCCCAAATCCCCCAAAAATCCCCCCAAACCTCAAACATCCCCCAAAAATCCCCTAAATTTCAAATTCCCAAAACCCCCCCCCAAACCCCCCCAAAAACCACTAAACCTCAAAAAAACCCAAAACCCCAAAATCCTCCAAAAATCCCCAAATCCCAAACCCCCAAATCCCCTACATCCCCAAAAACCCCAAATATTCCCCAAAAATCCCCTCAATTCCAAAATCCCAAACCCCAAAAATCCCCCAGATCCCAAACCCCCAAAATCCCCTAAAAATCCCCCCTGAAGTCCCCCAAATCCCCAAAACCCCCCAAATATCCCCCCCAAAAATCCCCCAAACCCCAAAATCCTCCAAAAATCCCCAAATCCCAAACCCCAAAATCCCCTAAATCCCCCCAAACCCCAAAATGCTCCAAAAATCCCCCAAAAATCCCCTAAATCCAAAATCCCAAACCCCAAAAATCCCCTAAATCCCAAAATCCTCCAAAAATCCCCCAAAAATCCCCAAAATCCCAAACCCCCAAATCCCCTACATCCCCAAAAACCCCAAATATTCCCCAAAAATCCCCTCAATTCCAAAATCCCAAACCCCAAAAATCCCCCAGATCCCAAACCCCCAAAATCCCCTAAAAATCCCCCCTGAAGTCCCCCAAATCCCCAAAACCCCCCAAATATCCCCCCCAAAAATCCCCCAAACCCCAAAATCCTCCAAAAATCCCCAAATCCCAAACCCCAAAATCCCCTAAATCCCCCCAAACCCCAAAATGCTCCAAAAATCCCCCAAAAATCCCCTAAATCCAAAATCCCAAACCCCAAAAATCCCCTAAATCCCAAAATCCTCCAAAAATCCCCGAAAAATCCCCAAAATCCCAAACCCCCAAATCCCCTACATCCCCAAAAACCCCAAATATTCCCCAAAAATCCCCTCAATTCCAAAATCCCAAACCCCAAAAATCCCCCAGATCCCAAACCCCCAAAATCCCCTAAAAATCCCCCCTGAAGTCCCCCAAATCCCCAAAACCCCCCAAATATCCCCCCCAAAAATCCCCCAAACCCCAAAATCCTCCAAAAATCCCCAAATCCCAAACCCCAAAATCCCCTAAATCCCCCCAAACCCCAAAATGCTCCAAAAATCCCCCAAAAATCCCCTAAATCCAAAATCCCAAACCCCTAAAATCCCCTAAATCCCAAAATCCTCCAAAAATCCCCCAAAAATCCCCAAAATCCCAAACACCCAAATCCCCTAAATCCCAAAAAAACCCAAATATTCCCCAAAAATCCCCTAAATTGGGGATTTGGGAATTTTGGGATTTGGGAATTCCCGCCCCTCCCCCCTCCCTCATTCCCGTTTTTTTTTTTTCAGCTCCCGCTGGGAATTCCGGACCCCCCCCGCCCAAACGGCTCCGAGCAGCTCCAGAAAATACCCAAAAAAATTCCCAAAATTCCCAGGAAATCGTGGAGAAAGCGGCGCCGGCCCGGAGGCTGCAGATCCCCGCCGGAAATCCGGGAATTCCGACAGGAAATTCAGGAATTCTGGCGGAAAATTCAGGAATTCCAGAAAGAAATTCGGGAATTCCAGTTGGAAATTCAGGAATTCCAACGGGAAATTCGGGACTCCTGGCTGGAAATGCAGGAATGGCATCAGGAAATCCGGGAATTCTGTCAGGAAATCCGGGAATTCCGGGAATCCCGGTGCGTTCCCAACTTTCCGTGGCTCAGTTTTACGGGAGCCGGAATTACCGGGACCCCCTGGAGCGGAAACGGCTCCGGGAGCTGCTGGGGCACGGAGAGATCCCGGAAAAAACCCGGAATTCCGGGAATTCCGACAGGAAATTCCGGAATCCCGGCGGGAAATCCGGGGATTCCGCCAGGAAATCCGGGAATTCCGCCAGGAAATCTGGGAATTCTGCCAGGAAGGGCAGCTCCAAAGGCAAAGGGAGCAGCGGGAATTCCCGGAATTCCAGGCTGGGGAATTCCAGGATTGAGAATTCCCAGATTTCCAATGTTGAGAACTCCCGGAATTCCAGGATGGGGAATTCCCGGATTTCCGGGATTGGGAATTCCTGCAGAATTCCAGGATGAAGAATTCCCTTATTTGCTTTGATAGACTTTCCTGCCCCTGGCACAGAGGGAGGGGCTATAAACCAAATTGTCATTACAAATCTGTCTGAAAAGGACCTAAAATTAGATGCCATGAAAATGGCTCTGGGAATCCCCAAAGTCCCAGCTACGGTAAGAATCAGACTTTGTGCCTCTGTCCTGGAAGAGCACAGCACTGCAATGCATCCTAACACATTTTGCAACCTTCTAACAGATATATTTCATCTCATGCAAGAAGACAGATGAGTAATTCCCAGGAGCTTCATGCAAAATTGGCCCTAAAGCAGATCCCAGTAGGCATCAAGGTAAGCAAAGAAATGTAGCCCTTTCCATTTTAGCCAGCTGCAGTTGACAACAGATTTCAAATTTAGACTTCAAACATTCTCATGAAGAAATTAACCCTTAGGTTGTTGTGGCTTTACTGTGATCCATGTAAAATAGCACCTTTTCCTTGTGCATTTTTTTTAACACAACACTTTTTTTTTTTTTATTTTTTCCTTGCTAGGCTGGATTCTGTATGCTGCAAGGCTGTCATAGCAGGATATGCTGCAAAAGAGTTTGTTGCATCTTCTTCCTGAAAAGTTGGTGGAGTTTCTCTCTATGCAGAGGGTACAACATTTATGGTCAGGACAGGGTTTTCTTGCTTTGTGGTTTTCTTGCTGCTGCTGCTGCTTTTAAAGGGGTCAACACTCTTAGCTCCAGGAAACTGAAACTAAATGTGAGCAGGGACTGGAGGAAGGAAGCAGGGAGGATCCACTACAAGATTCCAAAAACTAAATAAAGCAGGATTCAACTGCCAGTGGCTGAATAGCAGCAATTTATGAGCTGTTCCTCAAAAGCCCCAGACAAGCACCAAGTCCTGTGGGAAGCTGGAGATTGACAGAAGACACCTCCAGAAGAGTCTGCTGTTGAAATTTCCTTTAAGCCTTTTTTTTTTTTTTTTTTTTTTTCAAGTGGATCATCCAGACCTGGCAAATGCATAAGGTCAGCCCTTGGAAGAGCAAAAAGCTCTCGCCAAGAAAACCAAACGAGTGGCTGAAATCTGTCCATTTGTCTGCCTGTCTTTTTGGCCTTGGATTACTGTGCTTTTCAAAGCTATTCTTTCATAACTTGGATAAAAAGGTAAATGTTTCATATAGCCCCGCAAGTAGTAATCATCCTGTCCATGCAAAAAAAACCTGCTGCCTGAGGGATGGGCCCCAAACCAGAGGTGTTTCTCATTTACCTACAAAGCGTCTGGCTTTAGCATGTGTAGTCAGTTTTTGTGAACATGTGAGTCCATTGCCTGCTCTAACAGAGTTAGTGACTTACTTTCAGTGGTTGTAGAGAGTTTCACTGAAACAGCACTGTTTGTAGTCCACTGTGTGACTTAGGAGACACAATAGCCAGACAATTCTGCAAGTGTAATATAACTGTATGTGGCGTTCCCAGAAAATGCTCTGAAGTCTTCTCTCCGTTGCACCATGGTGATAAAAACCACTGCTGCTTTTCAAGCTCCACGAGGCCATGCTGTGCTGTGCTGAAAGGGATAGAAAAGCCAATTAGCTCTGAAAAGTGAAGGGCAGGCAGAGAGGGGTGCTCTGGCCTGGAATTCCCTCCCTTTGGCAGCAGCAAAGGTCAGCTGTGCAGCCAAATTTCAGTGACCACATGTGGATCCAGCTTGTGCGTGTTGCCAGCTATCTGCACAGGGAGTGGGAGAGGGTGGGGAGGAAGAATTGATTCTGGAAGGGGAAAGCCTGAGTTAAAGGGAAAAGTGGAGTGAAATGTGACAGCTGGGATTTCCAGAAGATAGTTTGATGGATGCTGGCCATCCAGCTTCCCTAGAACTCTTTATCAGTAACACCCTCTATATCTCCCTGAGTGACTTTTAGCCTGTCTGGCAGTTTTCAGCATCAGTGTGTGAGCGAAAAGAGGTGGAAGGCAGTTCTCTCTGATTTGGCAGCTCTGGGACTTTGTGCTGCTGGCTGAGGGTCTGGATTTCTCAGGAACTTCCTGGCTACCTGTGGCTCCCACAGGCTTGTAGGACTGGGCTTAGAGAAACCCTGAGCTGCCCGATGTCTGCTCTTGCTGCAGCTCTTCTGAATAGTCCTGGGTGTGGATGTGAGCCTGCAGTCCTTGGGAGGCAGAATTCACTCCACAATCCCAAGGGACTTGCTCTATCTGTCAGTGCAGGCCAGCTGTGGGAATCCTCCAAGTCCCTTTATCCTGTTCTGTGTGTCAAGGCCCTGTGGCTGACCACGAGTGCCCCGAGCTGCCATGGACCCTTCTTGCAAGGGCAATTGTTTTCAGAGTCAGCGTAGGTGCTGGCTACCTTTGGAAAAGTGTGAATACCCCGGGGAAATCCATGGGGCAGACACCTTGGGCCATACTGTGTGCTGGCACCATCAGCAGGCATGATACAGACAGAGGTGCTTTGCTTTTGGTGTGAAACCTTGCTCTGATGCGTCATTCCAAGGAAAACAGCCGGAATTGGCAGGCCAGGTCATGTGGTGAGATGAGTAATTCCAGCTCCCTTACTGGACCTGATTTATACAGCTCAGGTCCAATAGTTCTGAGAAATTGTTGATGGTGGGAGCCTTTCTGTTTGTTTGTTTCTCTGGAAACTTGAAGCCTTTCAAATAAAGAACAAATGAGGTGTAGGGAATTTTTAGCTGGGGTATGTGCTTCAGGATGTTTGCTGCATTCAGGCTTCAAGAACACAAATTCTCTGCAGACAATCCCACACACAGTGGGGGAAAAAAGGATATTGGGCTTGGAAGTGCACCAGGGAGATGGGACTCAAGTGAGCTTTGAACAGCAATCATTGTCATTAGTGGTGGTGCTGTAATATGTGCTTGACTCAAATCCAGCATTGCACAGGCAAGAACCTGGTGAAAGCTTTGTAACTTGATATTTGTGGTTGTGATCCGCTGTTGAATAGGCTAGACATGAATAAAATCAGTATTTTTTAAAGTGTTGTGTGGGGTTTTTTATGTCAAAAAAGGCTGGTTGCCCTCTTGGACTTTATTGTGTTCATGTGAAATGTTTGATGTGGACTTAATACGGGTCTGCAGATTTTTTAGGACAGTCCACGTCCCCTTGCAGAATTTCACCTTCCTCAGAGGTGGGTGCTGCAGTGCTGCACTGAATTTCTGCCACAGGGAAAGATGTGAAGGTAATTTGTCATGTTACCCTGCTGGTCCTGCAGGGGTGGTCCCTCTGTGCTGTGACAGCTCCACAGCCTGCCATCAGGTTGGCGTGATCTCCTGGCTGGACATCGGTGCCGGTGAGGGATGTGTCTGACTCCATTCCGGCCCTTGCTCGAGGAAAGGTGTGGGTGAAGGTGCTTTTGCATCTCCCACATTCTGTGTCTGGTTGGACACCAAGACTAAAGACTGCCAATTTGGGCACTGCCCAGAGTGTTACCACCTTCCATGAGACCTGTCCTGCTCCATCATGGGCACTGCATGTGGGAATGCTCAATGGCAATCTCCAAATTACTCCTCACTCAGCTTTTTCTTGCTTCTGGACTCGGGAGCCACAAAGGTAAGTCCATGCATGTGGCATTGATCCATGCGTCTGCCTCACTCACAGTCACGCTGGCAGAGGGCAAGGAGACAACAGTCAAGGAAAAAGCCTTGTTTTCCCAGTGGATGCAGGAGTCTGTGTCTTGCTGAAGGGCAGTGGTCCCCACACAGATTGTTTTTCTTTTTTCCTCTCCCCCACCACTGTGGCAGCATTGTTACTGGTGAGTTCGTGTGCTTGTCTGCTCCCTGTACCTCACCCAGAGCCCTCACTGCCTCTGGTCCTTGAGCCCTGGACACGTTTGCACATTTGAGTTAATCCACATACTTTGTTTGTTTTACAAAGTCTTTTTTTTCTCTCAGCTGCCACATTTCAAAGCACACTTGCTTACTTTACTTCATCTCTTTCCCTTCTTCATCCAGCCCAGATGATTCTTCACTCCCCTCTGGAGGGAAGTTGCTGTCCCAAAGCTATTGTAAATGCAGGTGAACCCGGTGGGAAGAAATGGTGATGTCTGACTCCAGTTCAGAAGGCTGAATGATTTCTTTATTATAACTATACTATAATGCATTCATATACTATTTCAAGGAGATACTAAAACTACAAACCTACCAAATCTCACTGACTCACAACTCGTGACCCTCTGAGAGCCCAGCCCCAGGAGGGTTGGATTGGCCATCAGACTCAAGCAATCCTCACCAGAATCCAACCAAGCACTCACCCCAGGTAAGTAATTCTCCAAACACATTCCACATAGGGAAAAGAAGGAGCAGAAATAGAAATTGTTTTCTTTTTCTTTCTTCTGTGTTCTTCTTTGTTCTGTGTTCTTCTATGAAAAAATCCTGAGACAGCAGTGAATGTGCCTACCACACAAACCCCACCGCACTAAAGTGAGTGGCACAAATGCCACCGAGGGAGCTGTGTTTTGGATCCCATCAGTACAGACCCCCCCACTTGCCAGCCTGCACCAGCAGTGCTCCAAACCTGCAGCAATGTGTGTAGAATTGAGATTGCTCACAACTACAGGTAGATGTCTAATGTCCAGGCAATATCACATAAATCATCTCTTCACCCCAAAAAATTAATCAGATTTGGGTTACGATGATGCAAACCCCTTTATCTCCCTATCACCACCACCTCTCCCCCTTTAGTATTTATTAAAGAAAAGTCAAAATGCTTCTAATAATTTTTTTTTTTTTTTTTTCCCCCTATGAAAATGTCTTTTTTATCTAGCAGGTAGCAAAGATCTGAAGGGAGGAGTGGTCATCTCAGGCTGCTGGGGGTGGTCACTCATCAGAACTGTAAATGGGTGATGGGGATGGAGACAAAGGCAATTCTGGTCAGGCTGCAAGCACAGCCCTGACTTCCACTCTTGTAAATAGTCATTTCACGGCTTCCTTCTGAAATTTGGGATTTAGGGAGTTCCAGCAAGAGGTGAGGCCGCTCCAGGGCTGTGTCTGTGAGCCCCAGGAATCTGTTCTACATTTTTTCAGTCCCTTGCGTGGTGTTAAATTTTGTGACACCTTCTTCAGTCTGACTTACTGCAGATAAGACAGAGAGGATTTTTTTAAACCAATGAGGATTAGGGTAAGTTTGGAATAAGGTTTTTAGAGGGTGGATTATGAAGGCACGAGCTGTGCAAGGCTGACCATTTGAGCTTCATCTGCCATAAGGGCCCACAGAGTATTAAACTTCATTCAAGGCAATTCAGGTATAAAGGAAATGTCAGGAAGAAGGAGGAGCAGGGAGGAGTATAAATGTATTCATTCTGAGTACAGCATTTGTATTTGCTGTTGTAATTGGTCTGTTAAAATGATTTCCTAGAAGTGAATTAGCGATCCCAGTAGAGAATACAATTTGGAGAGCCATTAAATTAGAAGAAACTAAATCGAAGGCAGAGTAGCATCTCTTCTATGCTGTGGCAGAAACTGTGTTGCAGACAGATTGACTGCTGACAGATCGTCAGAACTGAGTGGTATTCACTCATGACTTCCAAGGGGAATTGTGGAATTACCTACAGCACTTCATTCACTTAATGAATTGTTGCCTCCATTGTTGCCTGAAGCCTGCAGAGTAACAAAGGCGCTGGCTTTCTTTGAAACGGTTTCCATAGGTGTCTCTAAGGTACCGCAGCCTGGTAAATGTAACTTCTGCAGGAGGAGAATTACTTGTATAACAAGGAATTGAATCAGTGAATGCCTGATAAATACAAAAAATGTCCTTCATAAAAGTCACCATCATTTCTGTTATGGGAGGTTTTGCTTCGGGACACTGATTTCTTTGGAGAGATAAACAAGCACGGTGGTAATGGTGAGACTTCTTGGTTAGGTCAGAAGGTTTTAGAGGGAAATGTCCACTCACGTGATCAAAAGAGAAGATCCTGGCATGGTTAAAAATGGGAAACAGTGAGCTTGTAGGTTTAGGTGATCTGCTTGTGGTCATTCTTCAGACTTTTAATATTCATGCAGAAGTTTGGCAGAAACAGGAAACTTATGTGTAGACCAAAATCAGTTCAGCTTCTACAGTAAATGGTATTAACTGGTGTTATGTAGCTTTGACCCTTTGGAGAGATCTAAATCTGGCCTTTCCCAAGTTCTGATGGAGTAAAATAACTGTTTCCCAGTCTTTTATTTGCAGATACTCTAAATATTGTTGCTGGGGATCTATATAAAAAATTCAAAGGTAAGTAAAAATAAGTATTAGCAGTATGTGTGAAATATAATATAAATAATAATTTGTCTATCTTGCTACCTTTATATATATATATATATATATATATGATATATATTTCTAAATACGTCACTATAAAGTAGAAATGCAAATGTGACTATAATGATGAAAACAATATATAAATATTCAAGTATCGTTTAAAGAAGGGGCTTTTTTTTGCTTTTTATTTGGTTAGAGGCAGGGTTTTAATGGAAGAAAAATGAATATACCTTTTATTTTGATATCATTCTAAATATAGAAATATATATTCAATGTATGCAGAGATTTTTCTATTCTATCTCTTCTGAATATTTATTTTCATTTCTATTTTATACTTTCATATAACACCATACATCAATCTACATTTTAAACGTAAATTTGAATATAAATGCGAAATATAGAGACAAATTTAAACGTAGTTTAAAAGAAAAGGGGTTTTTAAAAGATTTTTACTTGGATAGAGGCAGGGGTTTATTTTAAGCAATATAAACCTTTTAGAAATAGAAATCTATCTATAGAAATATGTAAGCAATGTATTAAGCAATGCATAAAAATATAAATTGTAATAAAGGAATAAATGTAAGAAATTATAAAAATACAATTACACATCAATATACGTTATAAATCCGAATGTGAATATAAATATGAAAAATATAAAAATAAAATAGCTTGAAATGCAGTTTAAAAGAGAAGGTTTTTGCTTTTGGTTCCTGTTGGGTTAGAGGCAGGGGTTTTTTGCTGGCGTTCTTTTCCGCGCGGGATGTTTTGGGGCATTTGCTGCAGGGCAGGTTCCGGAGGGCATCGCGCCCGTTCTTTTCTGCCGCCGGCCCCGCCCGCGGCCCCGAGGCGAGCGGCGGCCCCCGGCGGTGGCGGGCGGCAGTGCTGCCGCCCTGTGGGCAGAGGGCGGTACTGCAGCCCGCCGCCCGCGGCCGCCATCTTGGGAGTGGCTTGTCGCGGATTCGCTTGACCTTCTCGAGATGGCGCGAAAAAGAGGACGTCGGCATTCGAGGACCCGTGTCTGTTTTTTCTACACTGCCTGAATGGTCCCCAACGCCGGCGCCCCCCGACGGGATTTTCCGCGGCGGTTCCGGTGCCGTGCACACGGGCTGTGGGGTCAGCAGCACCGCGAGCGTGCGGGTTTTTGGCGGGGGCCGACGGGCATCGGCGTAATACGCCAGACTAAAGGGTCAAACCAATGGTCTGATATGTGTGTTGTGACAGTGACTGATGTTAGCTGTAAGGAATGTGATGCAGTGTAAATTATGGACAGCAATTCACAAGAGACTTTCCCACGTCTGAGTAACACAGTTGACTTGCACTTTGAAGGAAGTTTGGTTTTGACTAATGAAACTGTGACTCTGGTGATAAATCTGAAGATAAATGCCTAATCCTGTTTTAAAATGCAGCTACTCAGTTCTTTACACGAGTTGGGAACTGAAAATTCCAGACTTTTGACATTTCATTTGGCAGAACAGACTATGCCTAATGCTAATGAACATCACATTAGCTGTCTGCTGAGGACTACAGGCTTGCCTAAGCTCACCACCTCATCTATGCCGTGTGCTGGAAGGACTGTCATTACCCCAGCAGAAAACAAGTTAACCTTACAGGATTTACACTAAACAGCATTTACGTAGTGTGGCTATCCATTAAGCTGTGCTACAATCAGCAGCGTGCAGGAGATCTTGAAAGGTCTGCCAAGAAAAACTCTCTGGCTGGGATTGAACTCCAGAAGCCTGAGGGCATGGAATGGTGTTGAGGGAAAATGCACTTGCAAATATTGGGTTGAAATAAAAATGTGGCGCTCTTTATCTGAAAATTGAGAATTTTATCCTATTATTTTGCATATACAAAATGTATATTTACCTAATCAGAATTTCGGAGAGAAAAGATAAGTGGCTAGTCCAGTGTCCTTCTCTATGGCTCCCTTTTCAAACAGGGAAAACAATGACTAGGCTGGGTTTTTTTGCAGGTACAACAGCAAAAGAATCCTTATTCCTTTTGGTTGCATAGTAATGTGTTATTAATGACAAGGCTGACAACTTCAGGAATCTGCTTTCCTGAAACAGAAGAGTCTTGCAGAGAATGTATTTCCTTCAAGTGAACAGGCTGGGTTCATACATATCCTAGGGAAAGAGAGAGAAAATACTTGTCTTTATTTACTGAACATTTAAAAGCATCTTCTGATGCTTTTTGTTTTGGACCACTCACTTAAAAAGCTTCGGCTGAACTCCTGTGCTCCATGAATGACATATACATTATACAGAGCCAGAAGTCCTTCCACTCAGGGTGCAGGCTACTAGCCTGATCCTGACTTCCAACACAAGTCTCCCAAATTGCTTTCCTGCTATGAGTTAGCTAGTCTTGTGCGTTTTCCTTCTCTATTTCCAGGAAAAAACATGGAAAAAAAAAATCTGGAGTTACCTCCTTGTATAGTAGTAGGTAGTATAATTTCATAAGGTGTCTGCATGCAAGAATGTTTGGGTGTTTTCTAATTCGTCTGTTTATGCCCAATTAGCTTAATGTTGGCATCACAATGCCTAAAACTACAAAATAATTTTCAAATTGCGCTCGGAAGTCAGACAAACGAACAAAATTATTAAGAGACATTTGAATACCTTGAATTTTCCAGAAGGATATTATGGCATAATCTTAAATATTTTATAGTATGGAAATAATTTTGCTATTGACATTGAATTATTATAGGCTTGCATTCACATCAATGGAGCACATTTGGCCATAATGGTTTTTTTTCCTCAGGAAAAGCAAATCTAACCCAGCCCATATATATTACTTGCAAAATTTCTGTTCTTTCCTCTCTCACATGAAAAAATGCATTGGAGCATCAGCTTTTTTCTTGATCCCCACAGGCACAACAGCTAACAGATCTGGAGCAAAAACTATCTGTTGCAAAAGACAAATTGGAAAACGCAGCCCTTGACAAAGTAAGAAGTGTCATGTAATGTAAGCATGTTTACCTATATCGGCTGTGGATGTTTTGGTGGAATTTGACAAAAACAAATGAAAGCCTTGCAGTAACTTAGATGGATACTAAGTTGCATATGAATTGTACCTGAGAGAGATGCTACTGAAATCAGTGGAACTAATTATGATACATGAAGTTAAGTACATCTGCAAAGTTATTTAAGAAGAGGATGGTCAAATTAGAAAAAAAAAAAAGCTCAAAAATATTTTGCACTGATTTTAGTAGATTTAGGTATTTATTGAACTACAGTTTGTGCTGACTGTAGACTTAGTGTCAGTCATAAGTTTATTTACACTAGAGCAGTTTCCTATTTCCCACATGAACCCTTAGAATGTTTACAAATTTTGAATTACCAGGCCCCAGATACCAAGAGTAGTGTGGCCAGTAGGCCTAGGAAAGTGATTGTCCCCCTGTACTCAGAACTGGTAAGGCCACACCTCACATATTGTTCCGTTTTGGGCCACTAACTTAAAAAATGTCATTTTAGTGCTGGAGTGAGTTCAGAGAAGGGCAATGACGCTGGTGAAGGTCTTCTGAGGGCATCTGGGGGAATTGGCCTTGTTTGGTCTGAAGAAGAGGAGGCTCACGCTCATTGTTCTCTTCAGCTGTCTAAAAGGAAACGATCATGAGGCAGGAGTTGGCTTTTTCTGCCTTGTCTCAAGTGGAAGGATGAGAGGATGATGAGCTCCTGTCCTCCCAGACAGGAGCTGCCCCCATCTCATACTTGTGCTGCCCTGACAGTCCCAGGGGAGCCCTACAAACTGACATCAGGAACCTGGACTGGTGAGTTTTCTTTCCCAGGGGAAAGAGCCGATGTTTGTGCTCAGAGTCCTGTGGCCCTGAGCGGGCATTTGACCGCAAAAAATCCGAACATCGAAGGATAAGTCCCAGACAGGAGCTGCCCCCACCTCATACTTGTGCTGCCCTGAGAGTCCAAAAAGAGCCCTACAAACTGACATCAGGAACCTGGACTGGTGAGTTTTCTTTCCCAGGGAAAAGAGCCGATGTTTGCGCTCCGACTCCTGTGGCCCTGAGCGGGCAGCTGAGTGCAAAAAATCCGAACATCGAAGGATAAGTCCCAGAAAGGAGCTGCCCCCACCTCGTACTTGTGCTGCCCTGACAGTCCCAGGGGAGCCCTACAAACTGACTTCAGGAACCTGGACTGGTGAGTTTTCTTTCCCAGGGAAAAGAGCCGATGTTTGCGCTCCGAGGCCTGTGGCCCTGAGCGGGCAGCAGTCTGCAAAAAATCCAAACATCGAAGGATAAGTCCCAGACAGGATCTGCCCCCACCTCATAATTGTGCTGCCCTGACAGTCCCAGGGGAGCCCTACAAACTGACATCAGGAATCTGGACTGGTGAGTTTTCTTTCCCAGGGAAAAGAGCCAATGTTTGCGCTCCGAGTCCTGTGGCCCTGAGCCGGCAGCTGACCGCACAAATTCCGAACATCGAAGGATAAGTCCCAGAAAGGAGCTGCCCCCACCTCATACTTGTGCTGCCCTGAGAGTCCCAGGGGAGCCCTACAAACTGAAATCAGGAACCTGGACTGGTGAGTTTTCTTTCCCAGGGAAAAGAGCCGATGTTTGCGCTCCGACTCCTGTGGCCCTGAGCGGGCAGCTGACCGCAAAAAATCGGAACATCGAAGGATAAGTCCCAGAAAGGAGCTGCCCCCACCTCATACTTGTGCTGCCCTGAGAGTCCAAAAAGAGCTCTACAAACTGACATCAGGAACCTGGACTGGTGAGTTTTCTTTCCCAGGGAAAAGAGCCGATGTTTGCGCTCCGAGTCCTGTGGCCCTGAGCCGGCAGCTGACCGCACAAATTCCGAACATCGAAGGATAAGTCCCAGAAAGGAGCTGCCCCCACCTCATACTTGTGCTGCCCTGAGAGTCCAAAAATAGCTCTACAAACTGACATCAGGAATCTGGACTGGTGAGTTTTCTTTCCCAGGGAAAAGAGCCGATGTTTGCGCTCCGAGTCCTGTGGCCCTGAGCCGGCAGCTGAGTGCAAAAAATCCGAACATCGAAGGATAAGTCCCAGACAGGAGCTGCCCCCATCTCATACTTGTGCTGCCCTGAGAGTCCCAGGGGAGCCCTACAAACTGACATCAGGAACCTGGACTGGTGAGTTTTCTTTCCCAGGGAAAAGAGCCGATGTTTGCGCTCCGAGTCCTGTGGCCCTGAGCCGGCAGCTGACTGCAAAAAATCCAAACATCGAAGGATAAGTCCCAGACAGGAGCTGCCCCCACCTCATACTTGTGCTGCCCTGAGAGTCCAAAAACGGCCCTACAAACTGACATCAGGAACCTGGACTGGTGAGTTTTCTTTCCCAGGGAAAAGAGCCGATGTTTGCGCTCCGAGTCCTGTGGCCCTGAGCCGGCAGCTGACTGCAAAAAATCCGAACATCGAAGGATAAGTCCCAGACAGGAGCTGCCCCCACCTCATACTTGTGCTGCCCTGAGAGTCCCAGGGGAGCCCTACAAACTGACATCAGGAACCTGGACTGGTGAGTTTTCTTTCCCAGGGAAAAGAGCCGATGTTTGCGCTCCGAGTCCTGTGGCCCTGAGCCGGCAGCTGACTGCAAAAAATCGGAACATCGAAGGATAAGTCCCAGACAGGAGCTGCCCCCATCTCATACTTGTGCTGCCCTGAGAGTCCCAGGGGAGCCCTACAAACTGACATCAGGAACCTGGACTGGTGAGTTTTCTTTCCCAGGGAAAAGAGCCGATGTTTGCGCTCCGAGTCCTGTGGCCCTGAGCCGGCAGCTGACTGCAAAAAATCCGAACATCGAGGATAAGTCCCAGACAGGAGCTGCCCCCACCTCATACTTGTGCTGCCCTGAGAGTCCAAAAAGAGCTCTACAAACTGACATCAGGAACCTGGACTGGTGAGTTTTCTTTCCCAGGGAAAAGAGCCGATGTTTGCGCTCCGAGTCCTGTGGCCCTGAGCGGGCAGCTGACCGCACAAATTCCGAACATCGAAGGATAAGTCCCAGAAAGGAGCTGCCCCCACCTCATACTTGTGCTGCCCTGACAGTCTCAGGGGAGCCCTACAAACTGACATCAGGAACCTGGACTGGTGAGTTTTCTTTCCCAGGGAAAAGAGCCGATGTTTGCGCTCCGCGTCCTGTGGCCCTGAGCCGGCAGCTGAGTGCAAAAAATCCGAACATCGAAGGATAAGTCCCAGACAGGAGCTGCCCCCACCTCGTACTTGTGCTGCCCTGAGAGTCCAGAAAGAGCTCTACAAACTTACATCAGGAACCTGGATGGTGAGTATTCTTTCCCAGGGAAAAGAGCCGATGTTTGCGCTCCGAGGCCTGTGGCGCTGAGCCGGCAGCTGAGTGCAAAAAATCCGAACATCGAAGGATAAGTCCCAGAAAGGAGCTGCCCCCACCTCATACTTGTGCTGCCCTGAGAGTCCCAGGGGAGCCCTCCAAACTGACATCAGGAACCTGGACTGGTGAGTTTTCTTTCCCAGGGAAAAGAGCCGATGTTTGCGCTCCGAGTCCTGTGGCCCTGAGCCGGCAGCTGACTGCAAAAATTCCGAACATCGAAGGATAAGTCCCAGACAGGAGCTGCCCCCACCTCATACTTGTGCTGCCCTGAGAGTCCCTAGGGAGCCCTACAAACTGACATCAGGAACCTGGACTGGTGAGTTTTCTTTCCCAGGGAAAAGAGCCGATGTTTGCGCTCCGAGTCCTGTGGCCCTGAGCGGGCAGCTGACCGCAAAAAATCCGAACATCGAAGGATAAGTCCCAGACAGGAGCTGCCCCCACCTCATACTTGTGCTGCCCTGAGAGTCCCAGGGGAGCCCTACAAACTGACATCAGGAACCTGGACTGGTGAGTTTTCTTTCCCAGGGAAAAGAGCCGATGTTTGCGCTCCGACTCC